ATCTACTGAAGGGCATCTAAGTTGGTTCCACAGTTCAGCTATTGTGAATTGTGCTGCTATAAACATTGAAATGGCTGGGTCCCTATAGTATGCTATTTTTAAGTCCTTTGGGTATAGACAGAGAAGACAGATACCTGGGTCAAATGATGGTTCCATTCCCAGATTTCCAGGGAATCTCCATACTGCTTTCCATATTGACTGCACCAATTTGCAGTCTCACCAGCAATGTATGAGTATACCTTTTCCCCACATCCTCACCAACATTTATTGTTGTTTGTCTTCATAATAGCTGCCATTCTGACAGGAGTGAGATGAAATCTTAGAGTAGTTTTGATTTGCATTTCTCTAATTGATAGAGATGATGAACATTTTTTTCATATATTTGTTGACTGATTGTATATCCTTTTCTGAGAGTGTCTGTTCAGATCCTTGGCTCATTTATTGATTGGGTTATTTGGGGTTTTTTGGTGTTTCGCTTTTTGAGTTCTTTATATACCCTAGAAAGTAGTGCTCTATTTGATGTGTGAGGGGTAAAAATTTGCTCCCAAGATGTAGGCTCTCTGTTCACATCACAGATTGCCAAAACAGACTGGTAGACCAATGGTACAGAATAGAGGACACAGAGACTAACCCACAAAATTACAATTATATATTTTAGACAAAGGTGCCAAAAACATACATTAGAGAAAAGATAGTCTCTTCAACAAATGGTGCTGGGAAAACTGGAAATCCATATGCAACAAAATTAAATTAAACCTCTATCTCTCACCATGCACAAAACTCAACTCAAAGTGGATCAAGGACATAGGAATTAAACCAGAGATCTTGTGTCTAATAGAAGAAAAACTAGACCCTAATCTTCATCATGTCAGATTAGGCCCCACCTTCCTTAATAAGACACCTATAGCTCAAAAATTAAAATCAAGAATCAAGAATTGGGTTGGATTCTGACAGTTTATTCTTTCACTGATTGGATTTCACTTCTTGTTAGAAAACAAAACTGCTTTTATCTTCTAGATACAGGGGAGGAGGGGGTGATACAGGATTTAACCAATCTAGACTACGGCCTCCTCCTTTTGTTTTAATGCTTTCTTCTCTTCCATGCTATATAATGATCATTTCTAGGACCACGCTAAATTAAGTTGGGAAAGTAAGGAAGTTGACACTTAATTATTGACTCATTCATTCATCTAGTCAAAAACTATTTTTGAACACCTAGTGTAGACCAAGTACTATGACAGGCGCTTGGAAATAGAGTGGAAGAGAGGAGTCACTTTGGGCTCCCTTCTTACTTGATTCTAAAACCACTGACAGCACATCATTGTTAGTTTGTATAATCCTGCTGACATCCTCTGCTTCACTGCATAGGATCTAAGGGAAACCAAGAAGACAGTTTACATATAACATATGCTCTGGGCTCCAGATCTACCTGTGATGTCTACACTCATATCTCAAAAGAATCCTAAGTTTGTTGGGCTTTAAATGGCTTTTGCCTGCCGTGTCCTTGTATTTTCCTCAGTCCCAGCACATTCCAGACTGTTCCAAGTCTCACCTTCAGCTGGATCTCTTCCTGGTCTGGAGGTAGGACTGGTACTCTGGGCACACACTAGACTCATGGCATTTGCTCAACTCTTGGATGTTGGTCCACACTCCGCTTTCTTCCTCTCCAGCTGGTACACCTTCTCCAGGAACCTGACTAAATGGTCATTCAGGAACTGCATGGTCTCCTCCTCATGGCCACTCGGGATCTTTCACTGTAGGTCCTACAGATTCTGATACCACTGGGAATGTTGCAGGACTCTGGGAAGGTCCACTAGTGTGGCAGCTGTGTGGCAGATAAGGCTGAGTAGGTCCATAGGGGTCAGCCCCATAGGAACTCAGGTGACATGTGCCAGGGTGGCCAAGAGGCCCAGGGAAGCAGCCTCAGCATCTGCTCCAGGCTGGTCTCCCAACACCAGTGAAGGAGACAGTTCTTGCTCCAAGCATCATGGTGCTGCCCAGCCGGGAGGATGAGCTGATGCGGGAGGAAGTTATAGACTGGGCTGAGTCCGCACCAGAGCATCGGATCAGGTGGAAAGGTCAAGCACCAAGTCTGAAAACCTCCTCCTTTCCCAGCCTTCTTGTATCCCACATGAAGTGGGTGTTGGCTCACACTTTTGACCTGATTATCTACTTACTATTGCACCTGCATCCTGTCATTCAGCTACTAAGTTCGCCATCAATAGTTCCTCGACTCATTACAGGAATGTTGATGAATCTGAGGTGCCTCTTGGCTCTTTGAATATCAGGTTGGCTGTTGGTGGGGATGTCAGAAACTTTTTTATCACTTTCCAAGGGAGGAAAGCTCTTTTATCCATCAGCTACTTTTTCCTTGACTGGGTGTTCGCCTTGTTTGCTCTCTGTCGTCGTCTTTCAGACTCACATTGAGGAGAAATGCATCTTCGGAACCCATTCACTCAACACATATCTGGTAACATCCTACACACCAGGCTCTGTGCTAGGACTTGACCTATATAGTTGGCAAATCGTGACGCAGTTGATGCCACCAGGAAACAGGCATCACTTGGGTAGGCACGGAGGGTTTCAAGAGTGTCTGAGATGCTCATCCGTGTGAGAGAGACTCTTTTCAGATGCCCATAGCTGGTCTGGACAAAGAAAGAGAAGCTCAAGAAGCCAGAAACAAACAAAATGAACAGTAATCTTTTTGGAATCTCTAAGAAGAACGAGGCCTTCAAAGTCAAGGGGCACCAAATGATCAGCGTCACTGTGGGCCCTCTTTATCCCTTGCTTCCTTAGTTCTAAAGTCAGTTATTAAGCACCCACCATATGCATTCAGAAATTGATCTATATTATTTGGGTTCTTTTTTTTTTCTGGAACACAGATGATAGATGATTATTTGGTTCTTACTATCAGCCTGTAAGGTAGGCATTCTGACCTTAATTTTACCAAAAAAAAAAAAAAAAAGTAAGCCATTGAGGACAGAGACATGAGGTCATTCTCTAAAATCAACCCCATGATAAAGAGGCAATGCCTGTTCTCAGTATCAGCCACTCTCAACTCCAAGACCTAGTCTTGCTCTCTTCACCTTTGGTCACCACACTTCCTGCCCCCAAGGAGAACAACCAGAAGAATGAGAAGTTAGGCAGCCAGAGATGTGATTGTAAATTAGCTCTCCCATAAAGAAAAATCAAAAAAAATCCCCAACTTGTAGCATGTGCCAACTTCTGTGATGTAAATATCCCCACAATAGCCAAGTCACCGATATGATGTCTCTGGATGAGGAGTTGGAAAGAGACGCATTAAATCAGTTCTCGGGAGTCAGTAGGAGCCAGCTCCCACATCTCACTTGATCCCACTTTCCAAATCCAAATTCATGACCGTGTGTTTCTTGCATGTTAATTTCTTTATCAAGTCTTCAGAAAAAAATCAAAGGTTGGTCACACTTCATGACACATGCTATAGATGGATCCTTAGAAAAGAAGAAAAAAGTGTGGTCAGGGTGCAGTGCACACGGTGCCCCATCATCTCACCGCTCACCCAGCTGCTCGGCTCCCCTTCCAGCCCCAAGGCCCCAGCTGGATCCCAGCGCTAAGGAAACTCAGGCAACCTCTAGACAGCCTCTAGGGCAACAGTTCTCAAAGTTGGGTTCTCTGGCCAGCAATAACAACATCTAGGAACTTGTTAGAAATACACATTCTCAGATTCCCACCCCCAAACCTACTGAATCAGAAACTCAGAGGTTGAAGCCCAGCGAATCATGTTTGAAAAAGCAGTCCAGGAGATTCTGATGAATATGTTCAAGTTTAGCAATCACTGCTCCATGAACAGGGAGTGGTCCCAAACACATTGATTAGAAATATCTAGAGAATACAGCATCCCCTCTTCTTCCCTCCCTGAAAAACTCACTGAGAAGAGCTTCTAACATTGGAATCCCCTGAGGAACGTCTAGAACTCTGATGCCCAGGCCATTCCCAGACCAACGACATCAGAAGCCCTGTAGGTGGGTGAGACCCAGATATCAAGTCTTTTCAAAGCTCTCTGGGTGGCTCCACGTGCAGCTGAGGTTGAGGAGCAGTAACTTAGAAGGGAAGAAAGGACGGAAAGGGCCATCTTTCCCTAATGCTTGCTAACCAGTGAGAAGCAGCACTTCATGAGCAGATTCTGGCTCAGTGGGTTTCATTTAAAGCATGGAGCTTTCATTTTTCTCTTGTGGCAAATGAAGATTATAAAATCTGCCCTGAGAGTGAGTTATTTGGAAAGAGTCCCATCCCAGAAAGCCATCATCAGTTGCTAATTAAACTCCTTTTAGGAAAACAGTACAAGGCCACACAAGGCCTTATCCGCAGTTCTCAAATCCAAAATATTCTGAAAACCAAGTTTTCTCATTATTTGTTTATCTTCAGATAATGTTTATTTATCCCACTTAGTATACATAGCCATTCTTCAAGGTGGAATTAGTAACATGGTTGTTTGCAAGGTCTTCCCCACACCCATCTGAGGTCTGGATGGGAGCCCAGACATTGGGGCTCAGCAAGGAATCAGCCCTCTCACTACTGTTTGAGTGTGTTTTGCATGAATGCCAGGTTCAGACTGTTGATTCTGGTGGGTGGCTGAGGTCTGTGAGGGGAGAGTCACACCCCTGTGGTATGTGAGGGCCCTTCTAATATGTCAATCACTGGCAGAGGATGGGCATTCTCAGAGAGGAAAGAAACAGGTCAAGAGCTCAACTCCTCGTTGGTGTAGACATCCAGGAGTCTAGCGTCTGGTTTGGGGGCTCCTGGGAGCACAGAGGCTGGATGTGGTGCCCAGCATGCAGAGGAAAGCAGGAGCTAGGAGGAGAGGTTCTCAGACAAGGTCATTTTCCTCCCAGAACCATGAGTTAGGACAGGTCGGTGAGTCCCTCAAGTCAAATCATCTAGACCCATGAGCTATACACCCCCTTTATCAGTTCTCATCCTGGAGTTGAGTTGCCTTCAAAGCACTACCCTCCATCTAGTGACAGGGAACCTGGGGTCCTTTGTCACCCTTGACCACTGGTGAGTGAGAGAAGACTTCCCAGCTCTGGCCATGGACCTTAATAACAGCCCAAGCCCAGGAGACCAGGCAGTAGGACTGAATGATTTGGTCCCTTCTCCCCACCAGGAGCATCTCCTTCCAGGGATGACAAGGTGTGATTAGGGCTTTGTTTTCATTAAAGCAGGCATTGTTATAAATGCTCTGCTCCCAGCACTACCACCACTAGCTGCATGTCCCAAAACAAGTAAGCTTGTTCTCTGTGCCCTAGCTCCCTATCTGAAAATGCAAGTTCTGGAACATGCACTTGAACCTGGTGACACAACCCAAGTAAGAGTTACACTGTATATTGCAGCCCAGGGCACTAGTCTTTATAGGCCAAGACCCAACTTCCACATAAAAATGCCTCTCTGTTTTCCATTCTGTTTTGATACCCTCTCCCCATCCCTCTCTTCCTCTCTTCAAAAGTCTGCTACAACGATTTCACAGACCAATACTGAGTCATAGCCATAATTTAAAATGCGATGGACACAATGAAATGACCTGACCCCAGTAGACTCACACTCAAAAAGCAACTTCATTTCATTTCTTGTCCAGGAACCAGAAGAAACGTGCCATTTCCTAAGCACCAAAGGAAAGTGGCCCCACTGAGAAAATCCTTTGAAGATCCAAAAGTGAGAGTAGAAGTTGTGAGAAGCTGCGTCCTGCCAGAGTGACGAGCCATTTGTAAGGCGGGCTCCAGCTGCAGGTAATTCTCCCACTCACTTGTGGTTGGTGATAGGACAGGTCTCCTGGCCGTGTGCTCAGGATCTGCTGCTCCAGCCTCTGGGGGGTTACAGGTCGGGCTCAAGGAGGAGCTGCTTGGGGCGAGGGGTGCAGGCTACACAAGCACCAATGGGGGGGGGCAGGGAATGGCACAAGGTTGCAGGGCATGGCCTTGTGCAACAAAGAAAGAGGCAGAGGCTGTCCAGCTGCTACCGTATGAAGTAGAAGCCCAGTCGCTTCGAGGAAGTAGACCTGGCCTCAATCTCAGTCCCCCAAGCCTCTTCCCCAGCTGTCTGGCCAGAGACAAATTCTCTGAGTCCCATATCTTCATCTGCAGTAATGGAGATGGTAATGTCAACCTCACAGATTGTCCAAGGGCTTAGGGGAAATAATACAAGTGGGGCAGGTAACTTTTTGCAACAAGTGCTTGTTGGTACTGTCATTCTCTCTGTGCCTCAGTTTCCTCACCTATACAATGGGACTGCTGGGACACCATTGGTCTGGACTCACACATATCCTTTCGGGTAGGACACAACACAAAACTGACTGGGGCTGGTTGGAGCGCAGCGGAACCAAGTCAGAGTTGCTGTTTTGTTTTGTTTTGTTTTGTTTTGTTTAACTTAAAACAATTCTAAAAATTTTAAAGTTAAAGAAAAGCGAAATTGCTCTCTATCATGTAGAAAGGATACAACGTGGGAATACCAAGTGCCCAGCACTCCATCAATGTTCCAGTCACCCATATGCCTGCTTCCCCTCACCCTGTTCCTGGTGCACCTCACTGGCTAAAGGAAAAGAACTAAAATTAAGGGTCAGGCATAGGGAGAACAGTGAGGCGCTGGAAGGGAGCCACCCCTCTGCTGCTACAGCTGAGCATACCGTGGCAGACGAGAAGGAGGAACTCAGTCCTGGGCAGAGCTCGGTGGATGCCTGTCAGGACACGTGCAGGAGTCTTCTTCCTGAGACACGGCTAACTGGGGAAGTTGGTTAGAGACCCCTGTGCAGCCTTTGCTAGGAGCAGGGACAAGGTCAACTGAGGGAGAGAAGGTTCTGCCTGGTGAGGAAAAGCACCCAAGCAAAAGCCCAAGAAGATCTGCCCTCTTCTTGGTCAACCCAACCTCCTTAAACTGGCTTCTGCCTTGCCTGCTCAGTGTTCTTTTCCAAACACAGCAGCTCTTCCTTTAGGGACACGACTGAGCCTACCGCTCTTCCTGGTACAGAATTGCATCCTCCGGGACCTGGGTAGGCTGCTTCCATCAACCTCTACCAGCCAGCGGCACAGCCCCGGCTCACACTGGAGCTGCCAAAGCAGATGAGCAGCCAGCAGCTCTTGCTCTTCCCTGATCCAGGACACCTAGACATCAGCTCTGACTGGGGGGTTGCACAGGCTTGGGGACAGGGCTGCTTTATTGACTCCTGTCTTTCAATTGGGCCCCAGTGCCAAGGCCAGGAGCTGGTAGCCACTGGGTACAGAGTTCCTGTTTGCCCCAGGCTGCCTGGAGTGAGAAGCCCTCAAACAGATCTTCACAGAGGAGGGATTTTACAAGAGCTAGAGCCTTGATCCTAGAAAGGTGGTTTGCAGATTTGATTCCAAGAGCCAAACACCCAGGTGTGAGAGTATTTCCTCGCCCAGAGCTGTTACTCACCTGCTGCCATAGCAGGTACAATACACAAGCTTCCTCCCGTGAATCCTCACTTCTGCTGCCATAAAAACAACCCACTCGCAGTTACTCAGTTCCCCAAAGTAGTTTCCTGACTCCTAAAAGAGAGGGGTAAGTACCCTCGGACCCCCCTCCCCCCGTTACTGGCCTCCATTGCTGTAAGAAATGTTCCACCTTCTGTCCTTAACGACCTCTCATCAGGGAGCTCAGCTCTCTCCCCGAGACACCACCTGGCATCTCTCCAGTGGCATTGACTTTAAGGCAAAGGAGGCCCCTCTGCTGGCCCTCTGTCAGAGGTAGGGTTCCCTGAGCACAGTGGCCTCTGGTCCTGGGTCAGGAATCCCTGGAGTCTGAACAATAAATAGGGGGAGGGTAGGTTTTCAGAACTCAAGGACACTTACAGAACCCCCACTCAGCCCCTCTGTGCTTCACAGACCAAAGAGGGGCTATGAGTTCCTCAGAGGCACAGAGCATGTTAGTGACAGAGCCAGGCCTGGAATCTGGGCTCCTAACTCCAGCACATCCTGTTGTGCCCGATAGTAACATTTTCAGCTTTGTAGGCCACGTGGCTTCTCTGTACTAGAGCAACTCAATTCCGCCATCATGGCACCGAGCAGACAAAGACCATTTAGAAACAAGGGGATGTGGATATATTCCAATAAAACTTGGTTTATCAGAACAGGGAGCAGCTGGATTTGAACAGTGACCTGTCATTTGATGTCCCCTGTGCTACACAGCACAATAAATGACAGCTAAAAATAGGATCCCTCACAGCACGTGGGAGATGGTCAGTCTGCTCCAGAGCTGGAGGACAGGGCCAGAGGGAAGGCACCAGGAATCATCCAGGAGGCCTCCAGAATGGACACCAGGCCTCAGACACAGGGCCTACACTCTTCTAGGACATTTAGACCAAGACTGGAAGTCCCTCAGATGCCCTGAAGCAAAGCCAGGCTCCCCGTGTGCCATTCCTGCTGCTATTGTTTCTGGAACTTGAGCTTCAGAGTGGCTACGAAAAGTGGTTCAGTTGCCACTGTCACTGAGAGAAATGAGAAGGGAGTGGGGGTGTCTGTCACCAAAGCAGATTTTCTTTAATCAACATTTATTGAGCATTTACAATAAACAGGGATCATATCCTAACCACTCAATGGAGCAGCTAGGACTCTCCCCATTTCTGCAGGGGAGAAAGCCAAGATACACAGAGACTCAGAGATCTGCCAAAACTCACACAGTGTGTGAGCAGCACAACCGGAATTCTAGCCAACGGTTTCCGAAGCCAAAGCCACTGATCTTTTCCATTGTGCCAAAGATGCTCATTCGTGTGTTTGCTTACTGGTTATGGCTAAGGGAGACCACTATTTAGAGAGGAAAAACCTCGACCGATTGTTCACGAAGATAGACATCTAATGATGCCGGGAACTTTCTATTTAGACAAATTGAGATCATTGCACTTAAATGTTAAAATTGATAGAACCCAAAAGGACAACTGTTTTATTATTAATAATCATTCCAGTTTTAGCCTGGAAGAGGCCAACTTTTTAAACCACCCTGCAAAAGTTTTTCTTAATATATAGGGGAGGAAAAACTTCATTTCATTTAATCCAGGGTCCATGAAACCACCCCATCTTCCAGCCACTGTGCACGACTCCTGGGTCTTTCTCTCAGGAAGCATCACCCTCCAGCCAGGCTTCCCTGATGGGTGATTCTGATCATAGCCCCTCACTGCCACCCCCAGAAAAGGGGGCTTGCCCTAGGGTAGTGAGTGGCAGGGGCCAGGACAAGACTCTTTAATGACCTTGGGGAAAGTTGAATCTTTTAAGAGCACATCCTATCTTTCCCAGTCCCACCGGAAGATCCCTGATCCCTGTGGGAGTTTCTCCCAAACATCAAATATGCCAGAGTTTTCATTACCATGGCCCTGCCTACATTTCCCTATAAACCAGCCTTCATTAACTCCAAATGCTTTCATATGAGGACAGAGTTTCTCTGAGAATCCCCATTGGAACACTCCAGGAGGTCCTGGTAATAGTGGGGTATAAATATTTCCCAAAGTCTACACTCATAAGTTCTTTTTCTCATTGGTAAGAGACAGCCTAGGCAGGAAGATGGCTCACTTGGAAGTGCCACCCAGGCATGGAAGGGTGCTGGCCAGCCGCTTCCAGCAGGGGGCACACTCCTGGCCTGGGGCTGTGGGGCTTAGTTTCACATAAAAAGGCTTAACAGGCATTTGGGGGGTGAGACAGGTCTTGGCAAGTTGCAGTAACACACAGGGGTGGAAACAGAAGCCAGTAGGATTGGACAATATATGCTAGGGCAAAAGGAACCTGAACAGGTCCCCCAAAGGGTCTGGGGCCTGGACTCTTGGCCTATAACTTCTGTGCAGTTGTTCCTACTTAACTCTTGTCCACAGCCTGAGGTCTGTGCTTCCACTGAGCCAAATGTACAAAGGATGCAGAGACTCTGAGTTTGGTGGTTGCTAGTTATTTTTTAAAGAGGACTACATTTCCAGGGAAGAGTTTCAGCATCTCAGAGAAAATGTCTCCATTCTTAGGGAAATGAAGAAGGAGAAAGGGGAAATATTTATTAACCTGAAATCACAAATAAGTACGGATACTTGGAGAAAGTATAAAGAGCTTAGAAAGACCTCCTAGACCTGGCTTCCAAACACTTGGCTTCCATTTGCACCTGTTGGTTGTATATCTGTGAGCACATCTTTCCTTCCCTCTGGGTCTCACACTCATTGTCTGTAAAATAGGAGAGGGTAGGCCAAATCATCTAGACGGCTCCTTCTGGTCTGACAGTCTAGGCCAGCTCTATCCAACAGAACTTTCTATGATGTCAGCAATATTCTATACCCACATTGTCTTGCTTCCTTCCTCTTTGAACAGTGCAGATTAGCCATGTGAGGCTAGTACAACTGAGGGACTGATCTTTTCCATTTTGTTCAATTAAAATCAAATAGCGAAGTGTAGTTAGTGGCTACCATATTGGACAGAATAGATGTAAGATTCTAGAATCCAACATTTAGCCTGTTCTATCTAATACACTTATCAAGCTAAGCACATTGTGGAAAAGGACTGTCGGTTTGCACACAGTGATAAGGAGCCCCTCTCCCTTGGCATCACACTGCATTGAAATTTTACCCACCCACCAGGAGCCACAGTTTGCTGAGCCTTATATTAGTGTCTCCGCTGTGGGGTTAATGGCCTTGTCTGCCAAGCAGGCATGCGGGATCATGTCCAGAGGGCCCCCAGGCAACTTGGGGATCCTACCCACTTTTCATCATTTCTTGGCAAGGCCAGAGGGCAGTTACTTAATATAAACATCATTTCAGCTCATTAGGAAGAGCTGTGTGTTTGGAAAGGGAGGTTCAGAAAGGTACTCATCGCTCTCCTTTCTCTGCCATGGCCAGTCCATTGCCAAGGCAGGTCCTTCACCACATCTCTCAAATTGAGCCCTTAATTTTCCATGGCCACCACCACTGCCTTAGCTGAGGGCCTGTTGGCTTCTCCTGTCGACCATCCATCAGCTCCCTGCCTGCCTCTCAGCCAGCCTGTCTCCACTCCATGCAAGACTTTCTAAGATCCTGCTCTGATCATGTCACCCCTGGGCTCAATCTCCCACTGCCTCCTGGAGGGTCAGGCCCTTCATGGGATTCCTGAGCCCCACCCGCCAAAGTCCAATGCCTTCCTCTATTGGAGCTTTATCCCCATTAGTCTCTCACTCAGGAACCTGCTGCTGCAGCCCCCAGGCCACTCCAGGGCCCCAGAGATGAAGGCCACTCCCCTCCAGACCCCTCAAGCACTCCCTTGTCTTCCCTCCTCATCACTTCAACCTTCCCCCTCCACAGCCCATCTCAAACACTACCAGCTACAAGAAGCCCTTTGAGATCCCCACAGCCAATACTTTCTCCTAAACTTCTTTCTGGATAGGAATTTGGCACGTAGCTCAGTAATTAAAAAAAAAAAAAAAAAAAAAAAAAAAAAGTACTACTGTGCAATTAGGCTGGGGTTTAAATCTTTGTCCCTGCATGTAGTCCTGTATATTATTATTCTCCTGGCCTCATTTCCCACCTCTAAAATAGATAAAATGCTGACTTTACATGGCGGTCATGAAAACTACACAGTAATTTTTGTAGGATGCTCAACATGGTATTTGATGACTTTTCTTAAGTGCTCAATAAGTGGTAGTGATCATTGTACCTGTTGTGGTTACTATTACTATATGGCCCTTATTGAGGAATGCACTGGTCTTGGCGCCCATTCTAATTATAAGTTGTCTGGATGGTAGGGATCATTTGCATATTTGGGGATCCCTTGCACCCAGCTGTAGTTTGCAAATAGTGAGGACTCTGAATATGAATTGATTGAGCATCTCCGGAGCCTGCAGCTTTCAATTTGAGTTCTAGTTCTACCACTTAGTGTGACTTGGGGCAAGTCTCTTAACCTGTCTGGGTCTCTGGTTCCACGTTTATAAAGTGGAGGAAATAATGGTACTTTATTCATAGATTGTTACCATGATTAAAAGGACACTATTAACTAGGTATCTGGGGACCTATCACCTGGGTTAGCCAGCCTCTAATGCAGAATCTTCAATGAGTAGGCACTCATTGAAGATCTCGCAAATGAGTGAATGACCCCATTGTACCAGCTATAATGAGATTTAGGGGTGGGTTTATTACAATATTATTCTCAATTACAGTAGCTTGGCCTAGGTTTCTGGCATAATTTCTCCCTCTTCTCTTTATTCTTTTATAATTTGGCTCCAGACCGATTGCTTGATTTTAACAGATTCATGGCATGTGAGCCCTTTTAGCCAACACCTCTCAAGCCTCTATGGAAACAGTGAGGGCACAAAAATAAATACAGAATCTGGGCGCATTCCTCTTGAGCCCAATTGAGCAGAAGTGGCCGTGAGCGACAAAGAGAAAAAGATGCACCTGCAGAGCCACTAAATGAGGCTTTATTTGCCAGTTAACTAAGATCGCATGCTCTTTGCAGCGACTTAGACAACCAGAAGCGTCACCAAACAGCACAGCTTGCCCCACGAAATGGAGGAGGCAGTTTTGAAGCGTCGAGGGCAAGGGCGCCCCCTGTGGTATCAGGACGCGTTGCGGGTGGTCCGCTTTCAGGTCCTGCTCTGGGTCATCTCCGCGGGCGGAGGCTGGCCCTGATCCTCTGATGGCCACGAAACGGTGGTCCGGCTCAGCCTGAGAGGCACCAGGCCCCCCAGCTCCGGTCCTTCCAGGATCCACCGCGCTGAGAAACTTTAGTAGCGGCCTGGGGTGCAGGGCGAGCAGGGCACGCAGAAGGTGCGGGGCACCCCGACGGGGCGGGGCACACAGGGTGAGGGCGTGCAAGATTGGCCAGAAGGAGTGGAGCAAGGGTTACAGGGCAGCCTGCGGGAGAAAGCCACAGGGGATTAGGCTTAGTGGAGGGGCCAGCTCAGGAGCGAATCTTGCAGAATTTAGGCAACAGATGCTTCTCAAATGGGACCACTGTATACCTTCTCCACTCAGCTTCCCTTGTCCTACCTCGTCATCGTTTTCTGTGTTACCTCAATAACCTCCTAAGTGATCCCCTCCACCCACTCTTGTTTCTGCTGACTGCTGTCAACTTAGTGGCCAGACGATCTCCTATAGACACCCACCTAATAATGCCCCTCCCCTGCCTAAGACCTTCAGTAGCTCCCATTTGTGCTTGGGGTGAATTCAGCTCTTTAATAGGACCTCCCTGGTCCTGCTTCTGCCCCTCTCCCCAGCCTCACCTCATGACCCCCATGCTTTCTAATCTGCAATGCTCTTACCTTCTGCCAGTTTCTTTGTGGTCCAGGCCGCTCAGGCCACAGGACTTTTGTGTCTTGTTGGCTCTTTCTGAAACACTCCTCCTTCTTCTCTCATCTAATCAACTTCTGTTTCTTAGGCACTCAACTCAACTGCCATGTCCTCGAAGCCTTCCCACATCTCTCTGTGTCAAATCCCACAGGGTTACCCATACCTCCTTCCACGGTGATCAGTAACTATTCCATTATGGACTCCCCACACACACAAACCCCACACTAGGCAGTGAGGTCAGAAGCTGTGTACGTGTGCCCACCCTGCATACCTGGCATAGAGTCGGCACTTAATGTGTTGAATAAGAAGAAATAATAAGTGAGTCTGGAATGAATACATGGCAAAAGGAAAGAGAATGATCTCAGAGACTGACAGGCTGGGGCTCAAAACCAAAAACAACACCCTGGATGTTGGGCAGAGACCAAACAGCTCAGAGGCCCAACAGGCAGCCTGAGGGCCACAGACAGCCTGAAGTTTTATAATTTGACTGGCATTCTACTTTTTCAATTTGTTGAAAAAATTTTAAATGTGGATATAACTTAGCATTTTAAAACACCCAAACTGTCAGCTTCCCTTGATGAATCAGAAAATCCATCCATACTAGGTTTGTACCTCACATGGTTGAATTGACCCTGAGGGGACAGCACTGCTTTCCTTCCATGAGACAGGAGCTCCCTGGTTCCCACAATCCCAAATGACCTACATCACACATGTATGTGAATTGTCTCATCCTTGCAAATATCTGACTGTGCAACACTTTCCCAAAAGGAGAAGATTCTAGATGACAGGGCTGGAGGTATAGCTCAGTGACAGTGTTACCTAGCAGGCACTAAGTCCTGGATTTGATCACCCATACCACAAAGGAGGAGGAGGAGGAGGAGGAGGAGGAGGAGGAGGAACAGATTCTGAATGACAGAGAACAATGCTAAATGTAAAAGAAAATGCTGCAGTAGGAATCAGCCCACCAGGTGTCCACAGCCCAGCTGACTCCTGCATCCAGGCAGCCACCAAGTCCTGCTGATCCTGATTGCACAGCATCTGGAGCTAATGCCTCCACTGCCCTGATCAGGCCCTCTCCATTGCTTACCTAGGCCATGGCCAGTGTCCCTGCCTGGTTCCCCATCAGTTCCTCCACAGCTCTCAGGGTGACTTTCCTGAAGAGCAGCTTTGAGCTCTCGTTGACTTGGCCAAGAAACATTTATGAAGCATCTACCATGAGCCAAGTTCAGGAAATGAAAATGCATCTTATTGTCTCCACATTCTAGATGTTTGCCTTCTACTGGGGGAGATGAGCAGGTAAGCAAATTCCATATTAGGAAGGAAAGAAGGAAGGAAGGGAGAGAGGGAGGGAGAGAGACTGGCCTCCTGCTTAGCTATAAAATAACATCCCACACATACCAGTGTGGTCTTGTGGTTGTCCATGAATGGGCTCCATCTGCCATTGATCAATCAGTTTCTGTCTGATTCCAGTCCTGATTCCCACCATAGCTCAATCATGTTAAGGGGATCTGTTGTCCCCTAACATCCTAAAATCTTCTCCTCAATGAGCTCTCCGGGGACTGTCTGCCTGTCCCTTTATCAGATGCAAACAATTTGAGAACAGATGCCTTGTCATCTACACAGCATCCTTCCTAGTACCTGGCACCTGGAAGTAGTTTGTCAACTTGGCATAGAGCAGAATGGTCCCATGAGCCAGTTTCAAGATGGCAGCAGGAACACCATTGCCTGGCTCTCTTGGGAGCATGCCAGCTTCCCAATGTCTTCTTACACCTGACAGGGTTCTAAGCTGATGGTCTCTTAAGGATGAGTCTGGTTGCTTCCTATAACCTCCGCTGACCCACGCCCACGTCCCTATGGAGCCTCTCCAGGGCCTACGTACTTGCTGTCCTCGCTGTCCAGCAGGCCCCGGTAGGTATTGATCTCACACTCCAGCCGAGCCTTGACATCCAGCAGCACCTTGTACTCCTGGTTCTGCCGCTCCAGGTCACAGCGGATGTCAGCCAGCTGGGACTCCACATTGGTGATCATACACTGCATCTGGCCCAGCTGCGAACTGTAGCGGGCCTCCGTCTCGGCCAGTGTATTTTCCAGAGAGCCCCTCTAAGGCAAAAGAAAAGATGTCACCATGAGGGGTGAGCTATTTTACGTGGCCTGGTTCAGAAAGAACCAAGAAGAACCAGGTTTCCCTTGGGTGTTGGTAATGATACCCTTCTCCAGGGAAGCCATTGGCCAAACTGAAGCCCAGAAAGGTCAAGTGGGGTTAGATGACTGGTCAGTGATAGAACCCAAGTCCTAAATCTAATTCTAAATCCCTTTTCCATCTAAAACTCTAGGCTGGCTTCAGGCTTTAGATTGGAGGTTCACCAAGTACCTCTCCTCTGCCATCAGTTAGGACAGTAGTTTTCAACCCTGGCTGCACTTAGAGTCACACAGGAGCCCTTTAGAAATACCTATGTGCAGGCTCTGTCTCCAGCAATTCTCATTCAATTGGTCCAGAGAAGAACCTAGGTATGAGGACAATGGAAATCCCTGTGATGATATTGAGAACCAGGGGTTTAGAGGAGCATACCAAGCAGAGAACAGTGTCAGACAGGGTCCACCTACCCCAGATCTGATCTGGGACATGCCCCTTCTGTCTCTGAGCTGGATCTTGGAAGAAACCTTAGAAGTCAGCTGGGGGAGTGTCCATGGTGGCTGAAATCTGGGTCTCCCCTTCCTCCTTCCTGCAAATCTGAACCTGACTCTCTCAGCACACTGCCCCCATCCAGGGCTAGCAGAGAGGCCCCCAGCAGCAGCACTCACCAGGCTGTGCTGGGCCTGCAGCTCAATCTCCAGCGTGTTCACTGTTCGTCTCAGATCAATGATGTCCGACTGGTAGTTCTGAAGCTGCTCTGAGCTCGTGGCCACCTGCTGGTTAAGTTCCTCCATCTGCAGGGGAGAGAGGAGCAAGCTAGGAGGAGCTTCCCGACACCCAGGAGCCCGGACGCCTGGGAGAGGTGCACCCACCTGCAGGTTGAACCACTCCTCCACGTCCCTGTGGTTGCTCTCCACCATGGTCTCGTACTGGCACCTCATCTCCTCCAGCATCCTGGTCAGGTCCACAGGGGGTGCAGCATCCACCTCGATGTTAAGACGGTCTCCAAGCTGGCATCGGAGGGTATTGACTTCCTGAACAGGCACAAGACCCGGGGCAAGTGTGAAAAATCTCACAACCCAGGGAGACAGGAACAGATCCAACAAAAGATGCTGAAGATCTCAGAGTTAGAGGGGCCCTGGGAGGACTGCGGTCCACCCTGCAGTATCTCAATGATCTTCCAGCTCCAGCTGTGCCCTTCCATGACACTTTCTGACACTTTGGCAGAAGTCAAAAGCAGCAAAAGGGTTCATTTGATCCATTTAGGCTAAAATGGGGAACTCATCCCCCCAAGCTCCCCCATCATCCTCCCAGCCTTGTTCAGTCGGGACAGAGGGCAGCAGGAGCCTGGCTCCACTTGGTTTAAGACCCAAGTTAGGATGGGTACCTCCCCAGGCTTGGTTACCAACGAGAGAAAGTTGTCACTGAGGCTGCTGGAGTGAGTGATAATGCCTCATTAGTGGCTACTTGGTGTGGTTCCCAGCTGTCTGATTGAAGTGGAATGAGTCAGGCGCCCAGGGGTGCTCAGTGAGTACGTGGTGAGGGATTGTTACTTTACACTTACGCCAAAGGAAACCCAGCCAGGACCCAGAGACACTCATTCATTCAAATCCCAAGTCAAGAGGCTGCGAGTCAACCCAGGGAAGGAGGACTAGAGCACCCCAGCTCAGGTGGGCTTCGAAACACACAGGTGCCCAGAGCACACAGGTGCTTGCCCTCCGAGGGCCACCAAAGAGGAAGAAAGAGATTGTAGAGGGTTTTCCTACTGCTTGGGCTTAAGTATATTATATGCAAACAGAAGAGAAAAGAGGGAACAGGGTGGGGACAGGGAAAATAAGAAAACCATTGTAGTTCAACTCTCTCTCAGAAGAAATAGGGGCATCCCCAGGGGTCTAGCCTGGCAGAGAAAGAAAAGCCATTGATGTGAGTTCCAGAATATAACCTGACCCTGGCCAAACTACATCACTCTCCCTCTGGGATGTGGCTCTAAGGACAAAGACGAATGCAGTCACTACAAGTGAGCATTCAGTAGTCACACTGTCCCAAGAATTGCAGCAAAACCGAGCTACGTTTCTGAGCAGCTACCAAGAGGCTGGTCTTTCATGTCCATGACCTGGGTCATATCTATGATCCATGTCATATCCATTAACTCCTCACAATAACCTTGTATGATCGTGTTAGCCCCGTTTTACACATGAGGGGGCTCAGAAAGAGGACATCATCTGGGCAAAGTCACAGAAACAATGTGTGTCAGACCTGGTAGTTTCAACTCACATCTACCCAACCCAGACACCACATTCTTCCCACTCTGCTTCCTCGCCTCAGCTCGACTCTGGCCTCACCTCCTCGTGGTTCCTCTTGAGGGACAGCAGCTCCTCCTTCAGGGACTCCACCTGGGCCTCCAGGTCGGCCCTGCACAGGGTCAGCTCGTCCAGGATCCTGCGCAGGCCATTGATGTCAGCCTCCACCAGCTGCCGCAGGGACAGCTCCGTCTCGTACCTGCACACAGTTGGGGTGTCAGCAGCTGAAGGGCGGAACTGCATACAGAACTCAGGCCAGGCCTCGAACGGCTAGCACTTTCCAACCTTCTGTGAAGCTATTAGAAAGCCACCCCGAGAGGGCTCAGGAAGAGGGGCAGCACTCCCCGGGCCAAACTCACTTGGTCCTGAAGTCATCAGCAGCCAGCTTGGCGTTGTCGATGTGCACAACCATCCTGGCGTTCTCCGCCTTGGTGCACAGAACCTGTGGGCCACACAGAGGGGTCAGTGCAGGATGAGAAGAAAGAAAAAGAACCCAAAGAGCAGAAGCAGAGACCCGACGCGGCAGCCCTTGGCCATCCCCGAGGAAGTCCCTCTACTCTGGAACTCTGGGGAAAATTTAGTGAGGTTTCTTGTCCTTGAGATTTACTTTTTAAATAAATCATCTGGATCTTTATTAACCCCAATGCCCCCATTTCAGATGGGAAATATGGAAGGAAAGAATCTCACTCTGTAGGAACTCATTCTCCTGAGAGTCAGAAGGATCCTGGATATTTTACTGAAAGACCAATCTGTGCCAGGGACTATTGCAAGCATTTGACCTGCATTGTCTCATTGAATCCTCTTGACGACCCCATTAGATAAGGAGCACTGTTATCCCCATCTTACAGATGAGGAAACTGAGTCCTGGAGAAAGGAAGAGACCTCCCAAAGTCATGCAATGAGTCAATGGTAAAGCTAAGACTAGATTCCTACATTAAGGGCTGAGTGCATAAATGATGAGATAATCTGATGCCCTAGGGAGGTCTCTTTTCCCTGAACATAGCTTACTAAATTAATGCGATTGAAATCTGGAGTGCCGGCTATTCAGGACGCCTCCCCAGCGAGTCTGTTCACCACCTGACCTCACCTTCTGTTGGAGTTCCTCGATGATCTTGAAATAAGACTGATAGTCAGGACACAGGGTGAGCACCTGGGACTGGCTGGCCTCTTGGATCTTGCTCTCCAGGCTAGCGTTCTCCCTCTCCAGCTGACGCACCTTCTCCAGATAGCTGGCCAGGCGGTCATTCAGGGCCTGCATGATCTCCTTCTCATTGCTGTTGAAGGAGCCCTCATAGTACCAGCCATAGGTACCCATGGAGCTGGAGATGCCACCGGCCGGCCAGCAGCTGCTGGGCCTGCAGGAGCTGGGCAGGAAGGTCTTGGAGAGGCAGCTGGCTGGCCGGTAGTTGGGAGGCATGCAGATGGAAGGCAGGCTCTGCACGGGCTGGCACACATACCCCAGGCACAGCTCGGGCCTGCAGCTCATGCTGCTTGAGCAGACGGAGGAAGGCCGAGGGCAGCCCTTGACAGAAGCTGGCGAGGTATTGGTGACACAGCAGTTGGATGTCATGTTGGGGAGGCCCTTCCTCCTCGGCTGCAGCTGCCCTGATGTCTACAGGCGAACCTCCCACTGGAACCTCTTTTATACCCTTGGAGTGAGGGGGCTCACGCTAGAAAGTCGTCCTGGGGGATGTTGATGTTACACTCGGGTCCAGAGGAAGCTGCTAATTAATTTGTAATCTGGTTTCCAATAAGGACTTCCTGTCCTCATAAAAGACACCAAACTTGTCATTTGGCTAAAGCAGGACTCTGGGCTCCTATCATTGATAACCAGGGGAAAGCTTCAGGACACCATCTTCAAAGAATCCGCTCCAGGCCTGGGCCTTCATTAACAGGGTGTGGCAGCCAGGGACCGCCACAGCCAGGCCCTGGGTCACTATTGGCCTTGCCGGGTGCGCCCCCACCTGTACCTGCCCTGAGGAAGTCTGCAGGGCTGGTGGAGAGGCTGCTGCCCCTTTTAATGAGAGCATTATTCCCTATGGGAAGAGGCCTGGCCCCTTAATGAGGAAATGTGTGGGTGACAGAAGTTGCACCGATACTGGCAGTGGCATAAATCTAGGGACACAGGAAAGTGTGTGACCCTCTGAGGCTTTCAAACATGTATTAGCTCCCACTAAGGGGAAGAAAATAGTATCAAGGAAGGAGAGAATGGACTTAAGACTCATTAAGAAAGCCTAAGAATCCAGGTCATCTTTTCACTGGAGACAGGGAGGCGTGGGGAAAAGCAGGTCAATGTTATGTCCAGGAGGCAGATGCTCTCCCCTGACCATGTCCCTCTACTCAGGGATTGCGGTGCCCTGTACAGAGTTACCAAGCATTTGAATCTGGACTGTTGAACAGATTGAGGTCAAACAGGTTGGAACCAGCTCTGCTTTTACTTTCTGCGAGGGCTCCCTTCAGGATCCCAGAGAACAGAAGCAGTGGGAATCAGCCCCTTTGAGAAAGGACACTCTGCAGCCCTGGGATGAGCCAAGCCAGAAGACCAGGAGCAGGTGTCCCAGTTAACAGGGACCTGGGGCATCCCTGTAAGGCAACTTGCTGTACCAGAGGTTTTCTGTCCTCTGTAGACCCCAGGAGCTCACAGAACGCGTGTGTTTAATATGTGTGTGTTGTAGAGCTGCAGCTTTTATTCGCTCTCTTCCCAATATCGCGTTGGGGTATAAGCATTCTTTTTCATATATTCCAGACATGGTGGTCAAAGGGCCAGCCAGCCCTTTCATTGCTGAAGAAAAGTCAAAATAGAGAAGCCGTCTTCTGGCTTGTTCTGTGGCCTTGAGAAAGTCAGTGTGCCTCCCTGGGCCTCAGTTGCTTCATGCAAATGGGGAGGGTTTGATTGAATAGTATCTCAGCTTGATTTCCTATGACAAGCATAACCCCACTGCCCTTGTCTGAATGAACTGTTTAGAGAAGCCAGTGGTGTCAGACAGAAGGAGGTGGGATGGCAATGTCAAGTACACGGGATGAGACCTCAGGCCACGCTTCCAAATCATAACCAGTGATATTGAATGAATACCACTGCCAGGCTCTGTGCTGGGTTCTTGAGATTCATGAAGAACATTCATAAATATTCTTATAATAAAGTGTAGCAGTAGCTCTCAAAGTAGAGTCCCCAGTTCAGCAGCATCGACATCACTCAGGAACATACCAAAAATGCAATTTTTCAAGACCACTGTAAGACCTATTGAATCAGAAACTTGGAGAATAAGATCCAGCAACCTCTACCCAACAAGACCTCTGTGTAGTTTTGGGAATCACTGAGGAAGAGAAGCATATGTATCTTAACAGCAGCCACCAGAATTCCTCTTGCAGAAGAAAACGGTCTTTACTTTAAAACAATACCTTTATGTTGATAATTTCTTGGGATAGTTGGGACCCCCCACATGCCATGATTTGGCAGTAAGATATCAGATGGAGAAAGGAGAGAAGAATTTGAAGTTCCTGGGGGCAAACATGGAAGGGAAGGATGAGGAGAAGAGAAAAACAGGAGTTAGGTGTAGAGAGAGACATCAGGGAGGGAGAGAGAGAATGTCAAGTTTGACCTCACAGCCCCTAGGAAATCTTCAGCAAACTCCACTCCGTTCAAATGCTTGGCATTATGAAGGATGGACCAAAAAAAGCAAACAATTGAAACAGTAAAAGAGAGAAATGAGACAGAAACAACACAGAATCCAAAACTATATTTTTTAAAAATAATAATCTCAGAGATGGGTGTAACAGTTACATACAGGAAACCAGAACTGGATGCTATAAAAGAAGAATAGAGAACAAAAAATTTCTTTGGAAATAAAAATATGATAACTTAAACTTATAATTCATTTTAAATATTTGTTATTAGAGGGAAAAAAATAATTGAGGAATACCCCCAAACTGTCGTAGAGATCAGAACTGATAGGGCTAAGGTCTAGGTCAAGCCTATACTCCAAGTTGAATTGCTAAAACCCCTTTTTCCTCCTGAAGGAGCTCTGTACGTTATCATCACCTGGAGAACCTTCAAAAATTCCAATACTGGGCCATATGAAAGAACAACTAAGTCAGAATTTCTGGGGAACAGAGTAGGCATGGGTTTGGTTTTGTCTTGTCAAGCTTTCTAGGTCATCCCAATGTGCAGACAAGGCTGAGAACATCTGGATAAATAGAAACAGTATTATAATTAAAAAGCACAAGCAAATGAAGTAAGTAATAATTAGAGGCAGGATTACATGTGATCTGGTTAACGCCATCTGGAAGGGAACTATTATAAGCTTGGAAGGGACTTGTGCCACGAAGAGTGCTATAAAGAGGAGGAATGGGACATACAAAACAGAATTCACTAGAGCCATGTGCTCAAGAGAGCATCTGGTACTGCTGACCATGACTTCCCCCACGACTGGTCAGAGTTGGAATTAAATAATAAATTATACAGCCGTCTATTCACTTTAGCTAGTCTGCTTTGTCCTGGGCATCACGGCCTTGAAGGAAACCTAAGAAATGAAATCCCAGATAGAGGAGAGTACATGTCACTCCCAGCGCAAGCCAGGCATCCAAGAGTCAATGTGAACTAGTTTCCAGGTGCCCATCGCATGCTCAGCAAAGTATTAGGGACTTTACAACACAGTGTCACCTTCGCACTTTTTCCCAAGAGGAAACTGATACTCAGAAAAGGGGCTGTGACCTGCTAGCATTCCCTTATGCAGTTGGTGGTAGGGCTGGGATTTGAACCCACATCAACCTGACTCCATGTTCTTGGCCCAGATTTTCTTTATGCTTATTTCACGGCCTCCTCCTACCACGGAGGTGGAAAGGAAAGAAGTAGTAAGCAGGTGTCCTTCTTGTCCCATCCCAAGGCCTCCCTCCCACATCGACCCATCCTGCCCCTCGTCCTAACCACTGCCTGCCACACACTGGTGGTCTGTAAGGGTTTGTTGGATGAAGTGAATGATTCTGAGACCATCACCGGCCATGGGCACCTGACCCTCAGCAAAATCTGCCGAGGTGTTCCAAGGTGACTGGAACTTGAGTGGAGGTTCAGGTTGCCATGAGCTAGGTGGTGGAGACCAAAGGCCCAGGCCCTCCTATACACAGGGACAGGAAAGGGACAGAATCTATGATGAAATCAGGTTGAAATATACAGACACCCTGACCTGGCAGGCCTGGGGCCTGCATGGGTCGGGCAGCATTTACCAACCTGTTCACCCTGGCACTGTCAGAGCCCTCTTAACATCACTGAAGTCTCCCAGCAGGAGCCTTTGGCATCTTGGAGAGCAGAGGGCTGACTCAGAACAACCTGCCCTCCTTTCTAGCATTGAAAGTGCTGCCTTGACCCTGTCCCTTTCCCTCTGGGACTGCTAGAACTCAGTACTCGCTTGGTCTGTTTGGGGCGGACATTCTGAACACAGTGAGAGCCCTCCATCTTAGGCGCCTGGTGTTAGCACAAAGAGACGGGGCCCAACACAGATTTCACAAACCAGCTGGAAGTCTTTATTCAGGAATGGAGTCATGGTTCTGATGGACCCACTCCCCTGGTGGAAAATGAGCCACTGAACGAAGGAGGGGACTGGGCGTATGTAGGTTATACTGAGAGGTGACTTAATTAATGACAGAGCGTGTCTAACGGAGGGTCCAGGGTCAGCAGTCTGTGGGCCAGATGAAGAGTCTGGCGTCAGCAATCAGTAGACCAGATGAAGGGTCTGGGGTCAGTGGTCAGTACTTATCTCTTCCCTCCGGGGTCTCATTGCACTGTCATTGAGAAAGAATTTGCTCTGGGAAGGGTCAATACTTTGGCTCCTTCCTAGAGACTGCCAGTCTAGGCTTGGATGGTTATCTCCTCCCCAGGGCTTGTCTTGTCACTAGGAAAGAGTGTATTGGAAAGGATCAATGCTATCAGGTAGGTATGGCCATCTTTTTCACTCCATTTTCTGAGGCCTCAATAGCTAGGGGTTTGACATTTCCCATCTCTAATACCTGGAGCTCTCTTGCCCATGCACCTGGTCATAGGACTTGTCAGATGCTGAGATCCCACAAGAGGAAGCATGAGTCTCCCAAGGGCAAGAACTTCTGAGCTGTAGCAGGCTCTGAGCCACTGGCAGGCCCACTCTCTGTCTTCTGAACATGATGGAAAGGAGAATATTAAGGAAGTTTACCCATCTAGCAGGGCTTTATGAAAGGCTGCAAGGGAAGAAGGTGTTTGTACCCTCTAAAGTACCACGAGCATGTGATACTATATCATAGCTTTTATGAGAAGCCACAGACATGAAGCTAATAAAGTGGCCCGAAATGCTTTCTATCTCACTGATCTCTTAGCATACAGGGTGGCCATGGATGCTAAGAGGCATAGCAGGCGAGGTCTGGTAAACCTGTCACCGCACTGGAATCTTGGGAAAAGGTCTTCATCAGAGAAGTCAAGCGGAACATCTCACTGTGGCCTCTACCCTTCCTGATCAGAGGCCCAAGGACCCTGTCATCCCCAGGGTCACTCTTGGTCAAGCATTCTGGTATTCATCTACCCAGAGGTTACCCCTGGATCCAGCAGGAACACAAACGAACATAGAAATGATATGAATCAGGCATCCAGAGCCAGAGCAAACGAGCTTTATTGTTCCACCAATAGAAACCTTGTATTGCATTTCAGAACCTACTGGAACACACCAGAAAGAAAGCCCAACCCAACACACCAGAAAGAAAGTCTCTGTTCCCTGAGAACAGAGATGCTGGCGCCCATTGAAATGATGAGGAGTTAAGGCCTTGGGGGCAGCCAGCCTTACTGACAGGCTCTGAGAAACTCGAAGGCATGTGTTTGCAGTGAGCCCTCTCAGAGCCTCTGTGTGCAGAGAGGGGATTGGGCTGTAAGAGTTAGGAGTGAGTAGGGGCCATGTCCAAGTGACAATGACCTTGGCCTTCTGGGTCAGAAGTTCTCAGAACCGACCCCCTGGGCAGGGCACACAAACAGGGCGGGGGCTGCAGGTCATGCGGGCTATGCCTGGACCACAGGAGGCTGCAGGAAGGCAGGGGAAGCTTGACTTGGAGGATGAGCAGTCAGAGGCACACGGGTTGCAGGGGAGCCTAGGAGACAGAAAGAGTCAGGTAACTTGGATCTTCCAGTTGCTGTTAGAAGGCATCTTAATAACCCAGGACTCCCGACTCTGAGTGTTGTGCTCCTCCCAGTCACCATGTTATCTCCCCAAAACTTTGGAGACGGCATTCAGAAGACAAGAGAACACACGGTGGCACTCACTTGCTGTCCTCGCTCTCCAGCAGGCCCCGGTACGTGTTGATCTCACACTCCAGCCGGGCCCGGACGTCCAGCAGCACCTGGTACTCTTGGTTCTGACGCTCCAGGTCAGCCCGGATCTCGGCCAGCTGGGACTCCACATTGCTGATCATGCACTGCATCTGGGACAGCTGGGAGCTGTAGCGGGCCTCTGTCTCTGCCAGGGTGGAGTCCAAAGCATCTCTCTGGGAGGTCAAGGGTTATGGAAGGAGGAACAAATTTAGAGGCCAGAGAAAGTACAAGTGAGACCTCAAAATCCAAGAGTGGAAGCTAGAGAATTATTTGAGCCAGGATGAACCACCATCAGACATCTCATTTGAGATGAGCCAACCAGCCCCCGTAGCCTACAGATCCAGATTATCTCCTGATTAATAGCATCTCTGAGTAACTGATAATATGTCAAGATGGATGTGATTACACAAATAGAGGAGCTACTGCCTGGACATATGGCTTGCTCCAGGCCTCTTGTCCCATACCACTGGGGCATTTATGATTGGGTCCTGGCCCTCATTCTTCTCCTCTGCAAGAGAAGCCTGATGCTCAAGAACTTGAACCCCTGGAGCCTGCCCATGTGATCAGAGTATGGAGCAGCAGGGCTGTGGGCTTCCAGGCCTCATCCAGCAGCCCGCCCCCACCTTCGGGCTCACCATGCTCTGCTGGGCCTGCAGTTCGATCTCCAAGGAGTTGACCGTGCGTCTCAGCTCAATGATCTCTGCCTGACAGGACTGCAGCTGCTCTGAGCTGGACACCACCTGCTGGTTCAGCTCCTCCGTCTGAAACATACATACACGCAGGACTGGTTAGGAGCCTTCTGGGGACTCAGCTTCAAAGGTCTCCAGAGGCCAATTAGAATCATCAGTCAAGAAGGACCTTCCAAATCACCCAGTCCGACACATTCCTTTTATCCATGCTATTTAGAGGACAGCCACATGCCCAAGGTTGCACAGTGAGGTTAGAACAGAACTGAGACACTCACATTCAGGTTTCTTGACTCCCAACCTCAGAGCCACTTCTGTGTGGCCTGACATGTGCCGATGTTGCACTGATTGTTTCCAGGTACCTACCTGGGTGTCAAACCAGTCTTCAGCATCCCGGCGGTTATTCTCCACCAGAGTCTCGTACTGGCACCGCATCTCATCCAGAACACGGTTCAGGTCCACAGGTGGAGCAGCATCCACCTCGACATTGAGCCGGTCGCCAAGCTGGCAGCGCAGTGAGTTCACTTCCTGTGGCACAGACCAGGGTCAGCACTAACTTTCCCAGTTGGCTGCCTCCCCCATGCTCACCTCCTCCCCCATGCTCACCTCCTCCCCCATGTTCACCTTCCCCCCATGCTC